GCAGGGAGGCGGCCAGCCGGGGGGCTGGCAGCCGGCGGTGGGCGCGTGCGCAGGGTGCGGAGCAGGCCCGCACTCGCTGCCGGCAGCGCACTGGGCGATGCCGAGAGGACAGGACGGAACAGGGGAGGAACAGCACCAGCCTATGGCAGGCCTGCTGGATAAAGGGAGGCCTCAAGGCGGGCAGGCCAGGCCAGGCAGGCACCTCCCAAGCAGCAGGCGGCAGGCCGCAGCAGGGGCAAGGAGGCCCGGCAGGCAGGAGGCGCCGCACCTCCATGTCTCGCAGCCGCTGCGCCTGCTCCGCCCCCAGCTGCTGCTGCCCCGCCACCTTGTCCTCCAGCGCCGCCACCTGCACCAGGGCCGCGGCAGGCACATCAGCCCCCGGTAGGCACCTGCTGGGTAGGCACCCGCTGGGACGCCGCCTGAGCGCCCGGTGCACCTGCCTGCCCGCCGCCGCCGCGGGGCTGCCTGCTGCTGTCCATCAGGCGGCGGCGGCCCACCCCGCGGCAGCGCGCAGCGCATGGCGCAGAACCCAAAACCCAAAACCCCAGGCGCAAGCAGCCTTGGCGGGCGGGCACGGCGGCGCGCGCGTGGCACAGCGTGCGCGCCTTGGTCAGCGCCTCCCCCAGCTCCACATCCCGCTCCGCCTTGGCCCGCCCCAGCGCCGTGCTGGACGCCCGCAGCCGCTCCACCTCCTCCGTCAGAGACCTGCGGCCGGTGCAGGGTGGCAGGCAGGCAGGCAGGCAGGCAGGTTAGGCAGGCAGGCAGGCAGGCAGGCAGGCAAGCAGGGTGTAGGCCGCGGCAGCTTGTCTGTCTGAAGGACGAGTCCCAGCCCTGGCCGCTGCTGCTCCTGCCAGCCCATCAGCGCGCGTGCGCCGCTCAGCAAACAGTGCAGCCTCCCTCCCCAGGCCCCACAGCCTGCCTCCCCCCGCCCCTCCTCGCCTGTTGCTGCCCTCTGCTGCCCCCAGCTTGGCGCTCAGCTCCGACACCCGCCCATCCAGCCCATACTTGTGCTCCCGCAGGCCGCGCGCCTCGCCCTCCAGGTCGATTGCCCTCGCCTGCGACGCCTCCAGAGCCTCCCGATACTTGGCCTCCAGCTCAGCACGCTCCCTGCGCCGCATGGCAGGGAGCGGAGGGGAGGGGAGGGGAGGGGGCACACGCAGGCCGGGAAGGGGCCACGCGGGTTGGAGGGGGCATGGAACGAGGCCAGGGGCGCAAGCAGCGGCAGCACAGTGCAGGCTGGCAGGCTGAAGACCTGCACCCGGCCGCCCATCCCCCACCACACACACACCAACAAGGGTGTGGACACACATGCACGCGCATACTGCCTTCCCCTGTCAGCCCCCACCCCCCGCCTGCCCAGCACATGGGACACAGCACACGGTGCTCGCCTCTGCCCCGCCTCCCGCAGCTCCGCCAGCTCCCGGGACTTGGCCTCCAGCACCGCCGTCTCCCGCGCCTTGCCATCCGCCTGCCACTCCAGGCTGAGCCGATCGTGCCACTCCCGCGCCTCCGCCGCCGCGCGCCGCACCTCCGCCAGGCTGCTCTGCAGGCTGTTGCGCTCGCTCTGCGGCAGGCGGGCAGGCAGGCAGGCAGGCAGGCGGGCAGGCAGGTGGGCAGGCAAGCAGGCGGCCGCTTTGCAGTCACATGCACACAAACAACAGCCAAGCCCGCCCCATTTGGGATGTCCCGGCTGCGCACCACCAGCTGCCTCTCCCAAGGGCAAGCCACCCGCGCCCGCTCGCAAGCCCAGGCACGCCTCCATGCCCCACCCCTCTGCTCGCCTGCGTGCGCTCCAGCTCCTGGGACAGCTGGCCTGCGTCCCCCCTCAGCTCCCCCAGCCGGAAGGCCAGCCACTGCTTGACGGCGGCGTCGGAGCCGGGGCGCAGGGCGAGGGTGATGTGGGGCAGCTGCTTGAAGTCGTTGTTCTCCACCACCCTCAGGCTGCCCTGCCCCGCCGCGCCGCCGCCGCCCACGCTCAGCACCGCCTGGAACCTGCACAGGCAGTCGGCAGCAGGGCGCAGAGGCTGTGGGGGCGCGGCCCTGAGAGGTGCCCGCCGCTGCCGAAGCCAGCGCACACGCCGGGTGGGGCCGCAGGCGGGCGGGCCGCCTGGCCCCGCTGCGGCTGGGGGACTGACGCTTCGCACCCTGCCTCCGCCCACTCCCCGCGGCCACCTGTGCAGGTCTTCGCACCTGGGCAGGTCTTCAGCCTTGCATGCGATGCACTTGTCCAGCAGGCCGATGAGCTTGCCGGGGAAGTTGGGGAAGTCCACTCGTATGCCTTGGTCCTGCCGCAGCAGCGCATACTCCTCCTCCCCCACCTCCAGCAGCTGCAGGAAGTAGGGGTCGGACTCGCTGGACAGGAAGAGGCGCAGCACCTGCAGCGCGGGCAGGGACGGGAGCGGCGGCAGGACGACGGGAGCGGCGGCGGCGGCCGGGCGGCGGCGGTGAGGAACCCCGGCCGGGGAGTGCGGCGGCTGGGCTGCCGGTCCCTGCTGCCATCAGTGCAGGCTGCTGGTGACTCTGTCGATGCGCCGGGGCTCCCGCCTGGCGGACTGGAGGTCAAGGGGTTGGTCCAATGCCCCGCGCGCAATTGCTGCGCGGAACGCACCCTCTGCCCATGCTTCTGTCCCGTGGCAATCAGGCGGATGGTCAGCTCCGTGGTCCGCTCCTCCCCCCGGTCTCCTCGCCGCACCAGCACAGGGCAGCTCCGCCAAAACAGGTTGGTGCCGCCGGCCAGCTCGCTGTCGGCCTCCATTTTGGGGCCCTGATATCCAGGCGGACTGCCAGAGGCAGTGGTAATAATGAGAGGCGGGTCAGGGCGCAGGATGTGTGCAACGGCGGCAGGCGGCGCCAGCGCGGCAAGGCGCCAAACGGGCTGGCATTGACCAGGCTCTGTGGCAGTTAACAAACGTTTGTGGGGCAACCGGTAAAACTAATTTTGAGTTTCTTGTGACGCATCAGTCGCAGCAGCTCGTTTGGAGGTTCAGGGGTCGCGCGGCATCTGTCGCACACCGCAGCGCTGCTGGCGGATGCTTCTCTTATGTCGGCTGCCTCCAGCTGGGCTTTGTTCCAAGTCACGGCCCTCTCCACGTTGTTCCCTCCCAGATTCGGCCACACACGACTGGTGCCCAGTGCTATCTGCATGCATGGGATGTGAGTGATGTGAGTGGTGTGTGGCGCATGAGGCAGTGACTAGGCTAGACCGCGATCACGCATCACCGCCCGACCGGTGTGCTGCCTGCGCTGTGTGCTCATGCCGGCCGGCCACATGCAGCCGGCCACATGCCGCAGCCGCCATGGTACCTCCAGCACCCAGGCAACTTCTGGACGACCGCCAGACAGAATGCTTGCAGCATGCCAGCAGTGCAGCCTAATAGGGGCTGCCCCATCTTCCCGGCGGTGGCTGGCGGGAGGCGCCGCGGCGCCGCCGCCCGCCGCCTCTGCCTTCTCCCGACGACAGCATTGCGCGCCCCCGCTGCTGACGCTCTCTATGCCAGCTGGCTCAGGGCTGTTAGAGCAAGGCAGGCACTACACCTTGCATCAGCAATCCGCACCCACGGGGCAACACATCCGCAAAGCAGGCTGTGCGGCCGCAAAATCTGTGCATCTCCTGCCGCTGCTCACTGTGTGAGCACTGTTGCGCTGCCAGGCACCCGCCCCGAGTGCCAACCGCGTTTTGCCTCGTCCAGCCCGCGTTTGCCCTTTGGACTCGCGAGACTCTCTGCGACGTCCTCCTTAGTCGGACAGCCTCAAACAAGTGCATGCAGCTCATCATGGGTGCTGCGCCGAGTTCGCCGCAGGAGCGGCTGTCTCTGGTCGGCGGCGACAGCCACGAGGTTGTTGTCCCGTGCCAGAGCGCCAAGCCGTGCCTTGACCTTGCATCACTTGACGAGGCCTGACCTCAAAGCTTCTATCTGCCACACAGCATTGAAGCGCTGCCCGACTGCTTTGCTACAGTCGGCAGCTCCCGCCTGCCGCTGCACAGCCAGGTGCTCAGCACACAGTCTGGCGTGCTGCGGCAGCTCATCTCGATTCATACAGACAACGGCAGCAACCTGATAGACTTGGAGCTGCCGCCACCAGCCTGCCAGGTTCATAGAGCAGTAACACACCTCCCAACCAATGCACCCCTTGGCATCGCCTCCATTTTCTCCACTGCTCCACTGCCTCAAGCACTGCTTGCGCTGCCTGTCCTGCAGGAGCGTGGCGACCTGTCTGCAGCATTCAAAGGGGCCAGCCTGCAGGCGGCTGCCTGCTTCCTGAGGCTGCTGTACGGCGACGACCACTCCGGCAACCTGGCCAAGCTGGCGGAGGCTGAGCTGCTGGCGGCAGTGGCAGGCCTGGCCCACAAGCTGGAGGCTGGGAGGCTGCTGGACGGGATCGCCGCCTTCCTGAACGGCGCGTGCTGTGGCCCGTGCTGTGCTCAAGCACCTTCACATCTGCCGCTTGGCACATGGCCTGCTTCGTAAGGTCTCACTCAACTGTATGTCCTGGTACACTGTGCTCCTCGTTTGCAGAGGTCCTCGGCTCTGCCAGCATGCCCGAGCTCATCGCCACCCGGGAGCTGGCGCAGCAGTGCGAGTTGGCGCAGCTGGAGGAGCGCTGCGTGGATGTCATGGCCTCCGAGCTGGCAGCGGCAGCGCAGAGGAGCCACGTTTTGGTGGATGAGCGGGAACTGAGCCGCCTGTTGGGTCCCACTGCAGCACGCCTGCTGCTCAAGTCCCACTACGGCTCAGCCTACCCGCTGCCCATCCTCGATGTGCGTGACAGCCGCAGCGGCAAGTCTGGAGGCTTCACATTTGCCATTGACCGGTTTTCGCAGCGGAGCGAGGACAAGGTTGACTCGCCCTGGGTGGAGGTTGGAGCGACAGGATGGAGGATAGAGGTGTACCTCGCGGGCGACACACCGGATGAAGAGACACACCTGTCAGGTGAGCTGCCCGGCCAGAGGATCCCAACTGACACTCCCACCACCCCTCAGTGCACATGCGTCCGTACATTGGACAGCATTTCTAGTCCCCGATACTGCATGTGCTTTGCAGTGTACCTGAGGTCCAATGTCACGTGGTGCACCCAAGCAGCAGCTGCCGGGGCGAGTCGCGTCACTGCTAGGTTCAAGTTCATTCTGATCGACCAGGCGCCAGGCGCGGCAGGGGTTGATCACGTCGAAACCAGCGCAGAGGAGCGAGCGTTCACGCCTCGGTACCCTAGCTGGGGGCATGCTGAGTTCCTGGAGCCGGCACAGCTGCAGCACATCGACCGTCATTACCTGGAGGGCGACAGGATGCTGCTGCGTGTGGAGCTGAGCGACATCACGGCTGGCTGAGCTCCAAGTAGCAAGCGGCGTCCGTAACAAGCTAGTGAACAAGTTAACATGTTTTGCGCTCGAGTCGAATACTGAATTGGTTTGCTCCACCATCATTCTGCCTGCTGCCCCCCACTTGTAGAATGCGCCGCTCCCTGAGCCCGCTGCCTTTGCCAGCTGCCCGCTGGCGGGCTGCAGTCCTGCAGGAAGCAAGCGGGAAGGGAAGGCTCAAACAGCGGGTAGAACAGCGCAATGGGGCTGGGGATGGGACTGGCAGCCAAGCGGAACCAGCTGACAGCAGCATCCGTGCACCCCCAGCACGCACCTGCGCTGCCATCATTTCACAGCTCCAACAGCTGCCGCACCCGTGGTGCTTGCTGGCGGCCACAGCTGCCCGTTGCATGCCGCCTTCCAAGGTGGCAGCCAGGAGGCTGGGTGTCGCGGCAGCAGGATCGTGAGGCAGGCTCTGCCATCGTCGCCTCCCTGCCTGGGTTGCCCCGAACGAGGGCAATACCAAGCAACTCCGCCCCAGAAGCAACACCATCGGCCGACTCGCGGCGCCATTGCTTCATCGCTGGCAGCCGATGCTTGGGAGGCAGCAGCTGTGTCCTGCCGGAGGGCTGTGTGGCGCCTGTGCTCGCAGCCCCTGCCAGGCTGCCCCGCACCACGTCGATCTGATTTCGAATCATCCGCTGGCTCTTCACGCGCCATAGCTCACACCGCCATGGCCGCCAGCCGAGCAGCCGCTTCCTCCGCTGCCTTGGCCTGCTGCTGCGTGAGGCGCCGCCCCGCGGTGGCGGCGCCGTGGCACACCTCGGCGGCGCGCTGGCAGGAGGCTACGGTGCCGGTGAGGTGCAGCAGGCGCGGCGCCACCACTCGGTGCTTGATGGAGGTGATGAGGCACAGTGAGCACCACACCTGGGGCAGTGGGGTTTGGCAGCGCCGCAGTGATGGGTGGGCAAGCGGGGGAGGTGTGCGCCGGAGAAGAGTGGGTGAGGTGAGGAGGAGGCAGCGAGGCGACCACAGCCTCTTGCTGCCTGCAGCACGCTCCAGCGCCCGCAGCGTGCCCGCTCAGCATGGTGCCGGCAACAGGCGGCAGCACGTGCGCACAGCCAGGCCTGGCAGCCTGCCCCACCTGCCGGTACTCGTCACGGCTGCACCGTATCACGCACAGGTTGGACACAGGGTTGTAGCACTTGACTGCAGGCCAGGTTGGGGGGAGTGGTGGCCGGGACCGAGGGGAGGAGGGGTCGGTGGCTGTGGAAGAACCCACCAAGCGCGTTCCTGCTCCCAGGCTCCTGCATGCATGCATGTGCCCACGCGTCACCCACCCTGGAACGAGGCCAGGGCTGTGCCCAGGCCGTGGTCTCCAAAGTTCTGCCGCAGGCTGTCACGGAAGGCAGCCAGCAGGACGGCCTCGTCTGCAGGGACGGCGGCGGCAGGCGGGGGCGGGCGGGGCGGGGTCGGCACCGGCGGCATGCAAGCAACGGTGCTAGGCGCAGCAGTCGGCCCCTTCACGCTGCTCAGGCATGCCACTGGCCGCGGGAGCTCACTGATGCTGTCGTCGAACTTGCCATCCTTCCAGGCCAGCTCAAACAGCAGGTAGCGGTTCTTGAATCGCACCATGGCTGCCTGGATGGGCAATTGGGATATTCACACACGCGAAACGAGGCTGTTTTCGGCCCGTGGGGGGTGGAAAGGCGGGGAGGCCCGCATGGTAAACGCAGGGTGCGTGCCTCCCCGCCCGCTGACATCGCCTGCCTCTTCAGAGGCCAGGCCCCAGGGCCCCACACCGCTCCTGCAAGGGGCACACCCGATCACCGCCTCGCTGCTGCCCTCCACACGATGGCGGCCGCCAAGAAGATTGTGCAGACTCCACTGGTGTGCCATGGTCACACTAGGCCCATCGTGGAGCTTCAGTTCAGGTGGGGTGCTGGTGGCCACTGGTGCACGCTTGCATGTGGGCCTCTGGGCGCGCCCCGCGACAGCGCAACACTTGCGCTGTAGGCAGGGGCCGCCAGCGACCCCGCCCGGCTGCCCGGCACCGCTGCCGCCTGGGCCCCGCCCCGCCGCCGTCGCCCCACCCCCGCCGCCCGCCCGCCCGCCCTCCTCTGGGCCGCCCTCCCGGCCTGCAGCCCCGTCACCCCCGACGGCATCTTCCTGGCCTCTGCCAGCAAGGACGGGCAGCCCATGCTGCGCAACGGCGAGACGGGGGACTGGGTGGGGACGTTCCAGGGGCACAAGGGCGCCGTGTGGTCGTGCGTGCTCAACGACGCCGCCGTGGTGGCCGCCACCGGATCCGCCGATTTTACCGCCCGCGTGTGGAACGCCACCACGGGGGACGAGCTGCACCAGTTCCAGCACAAGCACATCGTGCGCAGCGTGTCGTTCGCGCGCGGCGACGCCGCCTGGCGCCTGTGCACCGGCGGCGCCGAGAAGCTGCTGCGCATCTACGACCTGCAGCGGCCAGATGCGGCGCCCACGGGCGAGTGGGGAGCGGAGGGGCGTGGGATGTGGGGTGCACAGCACACGGGGCGGCGTGTCCCCACGCGCCTGCCGCCCGCCTGCCCCGAACGCCCGCCGGCCCAGTATCTCGCAACGCGACGGCACCCACGCCTGCCTGCCTGCCCGCAGCAGCAGCAGGGGTGTGCTGGCTGGCTGCCCTCCCACCTCCCCACCCGCGCAGCCCTCTGCCTGCCGCCTCTCGTGCCGCCTGCCTGCTTCGCTCAATGCCGCCCGCCTCGCCCCCCGCCTCCCGCCGCAGAGCTCAGCAAAGCGCAGGACAACATCCGCGTGACGCACTGGATAGGCGACAACCAGCTGCTGCTGGTGTCCTACCTTGACAAGCCAAACGTGGAGTGAGTGGCTGGCTGCCGGCAGATAGGGGCTGGGGCTGTTGTAGGGTGCTGGCGCGCCGGCGCCGTGTGTGTGTGCTCTGTGGTGGCGGCGGCGGTGTGGGGCGTGTGGGGTGCCGGCGTGGTGCGTGCTTGTGCATGGGGGTGGGTGATGTGGGTGCCTGGACAGGGCAGCCGCCAAGGCGGCACAGGCTGCATGTTCCCTGGGTGCCTGTGTTGCTGAGAGCTGCCACCCTGCGCTGCCGCCTGTCTCGGCACCTGCCCCGCAGCGTGTGGGATGTGCGGATGGGTGAGGTGGCGCGCAGCCTAGGCAGCCAGGGGACGGTGACGAGCATAGAGGTGACGCCCTGCGGCCGCTACATCGTCACGGCGGATGGGAAGCAGGTGGGCGGGTGGAAGGCCGGCAGGCAGGCTGGCTGGCCGCCAGCCTTGGGTCTTGTGCTGCCTTGGCCGCTGCTTTGGGTGGGGAGCCGCGCTGGGGTGCGGCCCAGGCACAGCGCGGTTCCTCGCCTGCTGCTCGCCCCGCCCTGCTTGCTCCTGCCTCCTCCTCCCCTCTCTCCCATCCCCACACCCCTGCCGCCACCGCCGCCGCCGCTACCACCGCTGCAACCACCACCATCACACACACACACACACACACACACACACACTCCTTGCCCGCCCCTACCGCCGCCAGGTGGACTTCCGGGATGCGGCCAGCTTTGACCTGGTGAAGAGCCACGCGTGTGAGGGGTATGAGGTGGAGTCGGCCAGCTTTGCGCCGGAGAGGGGCAGGTGGGCGGCGCCTGGGGGCGGCGGGTGCTGGAGGCAGGGAGATAGGGAAGGAGGGAGGGATGCGCCAGCGGTTCATGCAGCCATGTGGCCCGCTGGGGCCGGTGCACCGGCAGGGGCTGCCCGCGCCGCAGGCCTGCTGCCTGCCGCGCATCACGCGGCGCGCCGGGGCCCACGCCGCCCCGCCCCCGCCCCCCGCCCCGCCCGCAGGTTTGTGACGGGCGGCAGCGACATGTGGGTGCGCCTGCACGACTTCGAGACGGGGCAGGAGCTGGAGGTGTGCAAGGGTGAGCGGCTGCCACGCAAGCCACCAGTGACAGGGACCCTGGCGGGCTGGGCATTGCCGCCCGTGGATGCCGCTGCGACCGCCGCGCGCCGGCGGCGCCTGCTGCGCTTCGCCCGTGGCATGCTGCCTGGCTGGATGTGGCATGGAGGCTGCGGCTGGCGCTGATGATCGCGAATGGGAAGGTCGCCACCTGGTGGCACCCCCCAGCCTGCTGCCTCCTCACCCTCGCCGCCGCGCCGTGCCACCCACGCCCCGCCCGCTGCGCCCCTGCAGGCCACCACGGCCCCGTGCACAACGTGCGGTTTGCCCCCGGCGGCGCCACCTACGCCTCTGGCTCAGAGGACGGCACGATACGCATCTGGCGCACCGACTTTGCGGCAGAGGCGGCGGCGGCGGCGGCGGCGGCGGCCAACGGCGACGCGGCAGCAGCAGCGGAGGACGGGCTGGGATAGGCGGCGGTGGCGCGGCCGCGGCGTGGCTGCCGCTGGGCTGATGTGGCCGCCGCCGCGCTGTGCACCCCCTGGTGCAGTGCCGGCGCTGGAGTGGGAGGTGGCGGCTTGGTTACAAGGTGCCAGCAGGCGCCGCCATGCATGCCGGGGCACGTGCCGCGTCGCGTGTAAGGCATGCATGCAAGCGCAGCTGGGGAGCGCTGGGCAGGGTGGCAAGGGTAGGTGGCGGAGCAAGTTGAAGAGGAGCAGGGGGCAGCAAGCAAGCAAGCGTACAGCGCAATATCAATGGCAATGGGAAGACAGTGGTACAGTAGGTCGCGCTTTCAACATCGGTGTGGGGTTCGGCAGCGATAGCAGTGAGGCATGCGCGCGTCGTGGCGGCGGGGAGGGAGGGCGGCCGCGGCAGCATCCCGGGCAAAACACACGGGCGCCAGCCGGCATCGCTGGGCGTGTGTATCTTGCCCCAGGGACAGTCAGCAGTAGAAGCAGGAT